CGGGATGGAGAGACTGATGGACGCCCTGGTGGGCATCGAGATCCTGGAGGTGGAGACCAAAGACGGGACAGGTGAGGAGGAGGAGGAGGAGGAGGAGGAGGAGGAGGAGGAGGAGGAGGATGAATGCACTATTGATAATTGCACTCAAATGTAATTATTGCACTAGAATAAATGTCATTATGGCAATATTATGAATGTACTTATTGAACTAAAATACTCTGTTGAAGTCAAATAAATTCAATGATTGCACTAAAGTAAATTTCATTGTTGCACTATTATGAATGCAAATGTTGCACTAGAATACATGTTAGTATATCAGTAGAATAAATTATATTAGTTCACTAGAAAAAAATAATTACTGCCCAGAAAAATCTAAGTTAAATGTGATTATTGCAGTCAAACAATACATGTACTTATAGCACTAGTATGAACTAGAGTAAATGTGATTATTGAATTTAAGCACATCATTACTGAAATTCAGTTATTATGCTTGAATACATTTCATTTGATTAAATGTAATTATCTATCAAGGCTCCAGGTGACAAAGAAAATAGTCAAGTCTGCACCTTTGAGAAGCTTGAATTGTTTTATTTTTCAAAACCACTTAAATGTTGAACATGTCTTTTATCAGACTATTCGTTCTGTTTCCAGTGAACTGACACTAACACATTTACTTCTGCATGCATGCCTGCTGTTGCTGCTGTGAATGTCCCTGTTGGGAGTGATGACATCCTGATTTAAAGTGTGAATGTGTTTCGTTAAAACAGCTTTGTACAGCAGCAGCGACGTGGCTAATCTCTACCTCGCCAAAGGCAGCGGGAAGTCTCTCCACGACATGATCATTTACCAATCACAGACCATCTACCCGCTGTGGAACAACATGGCGGACGCTGTCAGGTCAGATCATTAAAAGAGCCCTGTTATGTTTTGGGGGTTTTCCCCTTTTCCTGTAGTGTGATATACAGGTTTTTGAGCATGTTAATGTTCTGCAAAGGCTAACATCCCCGTGTTCCATCCAGAGGAAGTTTCTCTCCCACACACTCCCCCCCCCTGCCTGAAATGCCTCCATTGGACTCCATTGTTTACTTCCGTAACTTAGTGACATCACCTGTGCACACTATGCACTTTTATTGGCTATCGCTCCAACACATTGTAAGTGGTAGGCTAAGGGGCGGGAAATTTCAGACGCAGTTGAAGCCCTTTTAAACTGAATACAGAGCAAACATTTCAATAGTCAAAATGTTCTCATGTACACGCTGTATTTTCTCATTTTCCACTGCGCAGAGAGGGGAAGAATCAAAATGAAAAGACGTTCGGCCTCCCATCAGAGGATATCTTCAAGGCTTTGTACAGGTCGGTGTTCCTTTTGTAGCTTCAGGTGCATACATGTGAATTTCACTCTAGTGCTGGAATATCTTTTAGTTTTATGATTCTCTAATTGGTTCCCCTCAGATCAGAGGAGGAGATGCTGAAGTTCATGGGTCTGATGAACTCCTCCTGGGTGCTCGATGGACACGACATTGTGACGGCCTTCAACCTCTCCGGCTTTCAGAAGATTGTAGATCTTGGAGGTTAAACGCCCTCTATACATTTCACAGTAGTAGCTCTTCAAAAAATGTTCATGTTACAATTTATCTTATTGTTGTTTTGGCCAAATAGACATTATAAAATGACAAAAATGTCAGATGTTTGCAGAAAAATGACCAAAGACCTAACTAAAGTCCAGTAAGTTTCCCACTGCAAATGACCATATTCTCTCTGAATAACTCCCAGGATGCACCGGGGCTCTGGCCCGTGAGATGGCGAAGGCGTGGCCGTCCTCCTCCGTCACGGTGCTGGACCTCCCGCAGGTTGTAGAGGCGGCGCAGAAACATTTCCCACAGGAGGACGACGCTGTTGAATTTCAAAGTGGTTAGCCTCTTTCTGACTCTTCACTCAACACTTCAAGAGTTTACTATTAGAAAAATAAAATCTAGAATTCTATAGGAAATTACTTGACCCTATTGTAAGATAAGATAAGATGGACCTTTATTAATCCCCGTGGGGAAATTCAGTTGTACAAGCAGCAACAGGGTAAGCGTGAAAAACAGGACATCACAGCTTCACACAGATTAATCAAATCAAAACTAAAATCAATAAAATCCAATAGAATGATGCAAAGTAAAATAGTTTTGCTCACATGCTTTCTGTTGCTCATGCAGGAGACTTCTTCAGTGATGAGATCCCTCCGGCTGACCTCTACGTTTTGGCCAGGATCATTCATGACTGGCCTGAAGAGAAGTGCGTCACTCTGCTGAAGAAGATCCACGGCAGCTGCAGACCAGGTGAGTTAAAGTGTAAATTAAAACGAGTGCTGTTGGCAAAACTACATGTAATGGGCATAATGTGTATTATACATATCTTTTCAAAATCATTTGTCACATTCATATGATATTCTCTTATTATTACTACACATTATTACATATTATTTTTCCTGTACACCTTTTTTTAAATATAACAATAGTTTTTATATAAGGTTTTACAATATCTTAAATTGTCATCTTTTTTTTCTGTGTACATTTTAGTTTCATGTATTCGTTTTTACAATATTATTTTTCAAAATCTCCCTAAAAAATCTGAAAATTCCATTTTCTTCTGTGTATATTTATGTCTCCTGTACACATTTTAGATTTACAAGAGATTTTCCATATTGATTTGTTTTATTTTTGCTGTTTTTCCATTTTAAATTCTATTACTGTGTTTGCGAATGCACGGTTATACACTAAGACAGATTCCTTGTATGTGAATCGGTGCTCGCCCTCCCTGCAGGCGGTGGCGTCCTGCTGGTGGAGGCCCTGCTGTTTGAGAACAGGCGGGGGCCGGTCACCGCTCAGATCTTCTCCCTCAACATGCTGGTGCAGACGGAGGGTCGGGAGCGACCGCCGTCCGAATACACCCGCATCCTCGAGAAGACTGGCTTCCACAACGTGCAGGTGTGCCGGACCGGGAAGTGCTACGACACCATCCTCGCCACCAGATGAGACGGGGCAGTAAAGAAACTTAAACTTAAACTTTTGAAAGACTTCTTAAGATATAAGCTATGAAAAAAAACAAATGATCAGTCTCAGTGCACATGGATCCCCAGTTTATGTTGTGTCAGTGATTTTTATTTAGATATTGTTGGACAATGTGAATTGCTTTTCTTGGTAATACAAACATTTGCTGCATTTAAGTTGCTGATGGATATTGTAAAATAATGATGTTAAAAGGTTATGTTACACTCAATCAATTCAGGTTAAAGGGTAAGTTAGACTTTTTGGGAAATACTCTTTTTAGCTTTCTTGCTGAGAGAAACATTAAACAGCTACCACTCTCTAACGCTAGTAGCCTGTTAGCTTAGCATAATGACTGGAAACAGAGGGAAAGAGCTAGTCTAGCTTTGTCCAAAAATCAAAATAACTTTTCCCGAAGAATATATTATCCATTAGGAAGAATTAGAAGATAGAAAAATCTGTATTTTTCTATATCACTGATCTCTTTTAGGTTTAAAGGCTAAGTTTCTACTATAGGTGGTTATTTATGCTTTCTGTTTGTCAGGGTTTAACACTCATAAAAGCCAATTTAAAAAAAACCTTCAAAAAAAGTGAAAGTTTAAAAGAAAAACTGAATTTGTTTAGCTAATGAAAAGGTGTGTGTAGTGATTTTTTGTGCTACTGTGACTGTTTCTGGCTTTCCTGTTCCCTGTGGTGAGTTCAGGTACCCTTTCAGGCTGCATTAGATCTGTAGGACCACCCTCAGTTTACCTCCATTTTCCTCTGCTGGTGTTAAAATCTCCCATTTCTCTTTTTTTTGCATGTTAGTTGTGTAAAGTAGTTTATGGAAAGAAATAACTGTAGCGTTACTTTGGACTCATATTGATTTCTAGACATTTTTCATAATGTATTTTTTATTTATAAAATGTGTTTTTTTGTAGCTCTTTATACCTCTACTTTTTAAATACGTTAAATACATACTGGAAATGTTCCCATATTAAGTACATGCAAGATTACAGTGTAAGGGAGCTTTTTTTTTTTTTAAATGAATGGTGTCAATGTTAAATACATGGTTGATAGCAAAAATGGGATAGCTGTAAGTTTCTTTCCTGGTCATTCCACATTTTGACAGCATGCGTCCTTCACATTAAATATAAATAAATGCATTTTATTTATATATATATGGTTTATTAAGTACATTTCTCAAAATCTACTCATTATTTATACAGCAAAAAAAATTCCTTGTACATGAAAACCTAAAATTAAAAATGTTTTATAATTGAAATTCTGATTCCTGTTTTAACAGATAAAACGGGGTGTGTGTAATTTCTAAAAAATAAACGGTCAATGGTCCAGCTGAGTCATGTTACACATTTCACATGATTAGATTAAACTTACTTTATTGATCCCAATTTGGGAACTGTTTTAATAAAGTAGCCTACATCTAATTTGTGAATTCTGATTTGTATGTTCACACTTAAAATCGCAACCGGGCACAAGGGTTTGTATTTTGGAACTGGAAAAAAATAAATAATGTAATATTCTCCCCTGCATTAGGAGGATCTGTTGGGGTTCCGGGCGTTCTGCTGACCTCCAGCGGCTCTCAGCTGCAGCTACAGCCAGGCAGGGTAACCTCCTACCGGCCAACGCTCTGTGTTTGTGTGTATGTGGAATGCGGGTCAAGCGGAACCCACGGCTAAAAACTGCGCTTCACATCAAACTCAAAAACCTCGGCTTTCATCGGCCTGACGTGCTCTGTATGTACCGTCCACTTTATTATCAACTCTACGCAGGTTTACATGAAATGCATATGTGCCGAAATCTTCTTAACCGGCTTTTTGAAGGAGTTAATATTTCCAGTATGGTCGCAGTCCGCTAGGAAAACGCGACACCGTCATTTAAAATGGCGCCAAAGATTAACCCCAGCCAGTGGATACAAAACCGCCACTGTGCCCTGAAGGCTAGCAACACAGGTAGCACAACAACTTGTTTAGTTCGTTAGTTAACAGCGTCCATGAGTGTTTTTACATGTCAGTTAGTATGTCTGAATTGATTATTGACCCCTAACCTTTATGACAGCTAGCTGATTGAGGGCTGTTAAATAAGAGGAGGCAGCCTAAAATGCCAACGGTTGTGTTAGCAGCTAATGCTAAATACATTACATAGATGTAGCCTCAAGCTAACAAGCTAGCTGCTAGATGCAACAGCAGACGTCAGCTAAATGTAACGTGCATACCACGCCTGTATAAAAACATTAATATTTAAGCGTAAACCCTCCTCAAATTAAACTTTTAAAAACAATTGCTTATTTCAAGCTAACAGACGTTAACAAATCCTTATCCGTACATCCTTATAATAAACAACATTTCCACATGTTGTGGGTGGGCCCTCATGTTGCATAACATGTTGCGGTTAGCTCTGGCTAACGTTAGCCAGCTAGCATTTTGAGTAACATAAAAAAAAGGCAGCGCTATGTGGTCTGATTTAAAGCTAATTGCGACCTTATCGTAGAACCACAACATTGCCTTGCTTTGGTTGCTGTGTTGCCGGGGGAACAGTTACAAACAACTGTTGTAATCATGCTAGCTACAGTTAGCCGCTAGTCAGTTAGCCCTGTTTCAAGAAGGGGCGTCTTACAGACCGATGCTCGCCTGCCGTTAGCTTAGCCTGCTACATTGGGGTTAGCACCTTTACCCCCCTTGTGCCTGCTGACTAAAGCAGAACCTTGGATATGTCGATCAGGAGTTTTAAGAGTCCCCGTTGACGTGTTTGCCACTTCAAGCTGAACTCATTACATTGATAAAAAGGAGTAGTTCCCTGTCGGTGCTGCATGTGGTTACTTCTTGTTGTCATCGCTGAACAGTGGCTGTGGTATGTACGCATCTTTAGCTTCAGGGCTGGTTATGTACTGTCAGATCAGTAAGGAAACGTAAAGTGATAAGCTGTATTGCTGTTTCAGGTACGGATTTGTTTGCATATGTAGATATAGTAGTAGAGTAGAGCTAATGTACTGATTTCTAGACATAATTCAGAAGAAGGGCCAGATGATTGTTTTGTTAGAAATGAAACGGATCCTCAATAAGCACATTAACTGTCTTCGTAACTGCAAAAGTGCTTCATCTTGTTGATAGTATCTGCTAGTAAATCACGTGTACTTTCCTACATATTCTGGAAACTAACTTATGATAATGTCTTGCATGTTAAAAGTGTCTTCAAAAGTTGTTGTTGTGTTGATTTTCTCAGTCTGGGCCAAGCAGACATTTAAACATCAAAAACCTTAAGAGAGTTTACTGAATATTACTTATGCCACAAAGTAGAACACATTATTGAAATGGTAAAATGCTAAAGTTCCAACTTTTAAATGCTGACATAGTGTACTAAGAGTTTAAATTGGTACAGAAATATTCTATAACATGTGGGACCCCTCCCTGAACTTTGTAGATTCTGGTATATCTGGCCAAATGCTGCCAGGATTGTGTTGATTGTTCTTTTTGCAAGTTATAATTGAAGCATCTGGTGTTTCATACATGAATCTGAGCCAGTGTTTTTGGTGTGTTTGTTTCTATTGTGTGGCATTTAGGGATTTGTTCTCTCTCCTATGAACTCCATAATGTATCCACCTTGTGGTAAAAATGTAAATATATTGTCAAAAAGCATCAGCAAGAAACAATAAGACTCTGATCCTAATACTGTCATTATCAACATATGATCATGTGTGTTTGAGTCAGACTTATTTATGTAATTGCCAAATATAGTTTTTTTATCATTGCTGTATATTTATGCAGTGTTTTATCAATCTTTTCTGTAACTTAACCTCCTGACTTGTATGTGTGCAGTGTCCTTATGTCGGAGCTCCAGAGACAGGCGACGATGAAGAGAAACAGGAATCCCAGCAGCAGTGACGACTCCGACAATGGAAGTAAGTACAATATTGACTCTGCTGACTCATTCATACTAAATCTAGCTTGAATCAGGTCGAGCTAACCTCCTTCAGCTTCCTCAATCTCACAAGTGAACGTGCAAAGCGGCAGAAGATTTTATTCTTATTAAGATAATGATTCAATGTTGTTCAGTTTTGGTTACTTTCATTTGTAATGGTCACATTTTTGTAAACCAAGCACAGTCCTTTTCTGAAAGTGCATCTCATATCTTGTTACTGTGTGTGTCAGTCAATGTATATTCATGTTCAGGAAGGACATCGAGACAGAGTAAAGGAAAGAAGAGCAGCAGTTGGACAGAGATTAAGGAAAAGAAAGAGAAGGCCTACAGTCTGAGAGACAGGAGACAGTTTAGGGACACTTGGAGTTCTAAAGACGTCCTGGCAGGTCAGACAGGCAGAAAGGCTCAAATCTGACTTCAGTTACAACTTCATAAACATATGTGTTTTGCTTCATCCTCTAAGTATCTCTGATGTGTGGGGTTTTACCTCATTGTATACTGTATTGGGGGTAAGCAAATAATTGTGTTGATTTGGTGTGATTAGTTGGATTGACTTATTATCCAATATATCTGATGCCGTAGTATTAAAGCGATCAAACCCAAAGATCTGATCGGATTCAGGGTTTCGTTCGGTGAAAAGTTAAACGCATTATTAAGAAAATCCTCCAGGTTTTTGATGTTCAACATGTAGTGAAATGAAAGGCTTCGGTCTCATCGAGGTGGTTTTTGAATGCTCCTTGATTGACCCTGCTTTCATACATTTTATATTAATCTTAAGAAAAATAAATAAAAGAAGCGAATACATTTAACTGAAAAAATTAAAATATCAGTTGAACCATTTGGAATATCCAAAGGAGCCACGCTTGTATCTTTTAACATTTTCTTAAAGTTTTAGGTCAATAAGAGCAGCTGAAACAGACAAAGAAAACACGAGACACCTTTCATACTCGTTGTGTTTCTCCTCCAGGTAATTCCACGTGTTGGTCACAACATTCATCACAGCCAAGAAGAGGGAACGGGCAAAAACCCTCTGAGGTACGTCTCTCTGAACTCTTAATTCTATAGGATGATAAGAAATTGGTAAAAATCTAACATAGTTCACGAGTTATCTTCTGCTGTCATGTTCTTGTTTTATTACACTTTTTATCTTGAAAAGAAATCACATACACATAAATACTTTTATTTAAAAAAGAATGTTTTAATCATTTAATACATACAACACATCGACACCGGTAAATACACTTGTCATAAGAGTCTGTATTTTGTCAAACACAGCTGCTGTTATCTCCTGTTCAGTCTGTGGACTTGGTCCCTGCAGGCCACTGTACCCTCTGACTGAGAGCCAATCAAATGAAAACAAAACACTGACTCAGGCCTAAGAAGGATCCTGATTGGCTCATTTCTGTCTGGCTATGTTTTGACAACGTGGTCGTCTTTTAACCTTCACATATGCTGTAATACATTACCTTATCTAGCTAACTTATTTTGGTTGTTTGCCAGTTTATCTGCACATTTTAAAGTTAACAGTTGCTTTTCAGATGACCCACAAAACAAAGTTGCAGTGTAATTCTATGTTTTAAAAAAATTAGTGTTATTAGTCTTGCAAATGAAATAATTGTTTGTTGTTAATATACCAGTTTTTGTAACCTAAAATGTGGATATATGATCACTAAAGATAACTTTTCCCGCTGCATTTATATTTTCTGTCGTTGTGATGTTTTATTAGGATTGTGAAGGCTTGCATTTATTCCTCTGACAGTTACTATAAAACAACTACAACGAACATTTCCCCCTCTACAAACCACAATTACTCAGTGTTTTAGTTCAGTAAAGCATTCTGACTCTTGTTGTCTGACGTCGGTTGCAGGTTTTCAGGACCGACCTCATCACAGCCATGAAGGTACATGACTCAAACCAGCTGATCCCAGAGGAATATTACATCCTGGCAGACGCCTGGAGACAGGAGTGGGAGAAGGGCGTGCAGGTCCCCGTCAGCCCGCAGTCCATCCCACAGCCCGTCGCCAGGTAGGACGAAGAACAGCACATTCTGAGAGCAGAAAGTCACATGTTTGATCCCAGATTGTCCTTGAGTGGGAATGCAAGCTGTGTGGATACGGCTTCTTGTGTTACAGGTGGTACAAGCCTGTTGTTTTAAAGTCATTTAGTTGGTTTAGACAGATTCAGTCAGATCGTTTGATATCCAGATAAGATAAAGGTACAGGAGGGGTTGAAAAAAAAACACACTCACAAATGATTAAAGTGAATATTTAAAAAGTTGTTTCATCTGGCATCTGGACCCTCTTCAGTGATATTTGTGCACCCTATTGTCAGATGGCGTTGTCCCTAAAGGCCAAGTTATTCATGATGTGAATGTTATGGCACAAAAAAAATCGCTCAAGTGTAATTTCTAAGCACCATTTGGTGAAGGGACAACATTTTTCAGAGGGTCTAGAAAACAAATGTATCATTCAAAGTACCTTAGTGTAAATGCAGGACAGTGCACTGACAGGTCTGCTGACTGTGATGTGCTGCAGGGTGCTGGCGGAGAAGGGAAAGGAGGTGATGTTCGTCAGGCCGAAGAAGTTGATCCGGACCTCGGGCGCCGAGGCTCTGGGCTACGTGGACATCAGGACGCTGGCAGATGGGATGTGTCGCTACGACCTGAACGAGGAGGACGTGGCCTGGCTGCAGGCCGCCAACCAGGAGTTTGCAGAGATGGGTGAGTCAATGTTTAAACTGAGGCTGCGGCAACAGGCTGGCAGTCATTTTGTACCTGTTATTAACATGTCATTAAGCACAATGTTGCTGCTGTGGGAAACAAGGAGTTGACTCCAAAATGTCTGCCATTAACACAGAAAGACTTTTGGTCAGCTTGACAACTTGTAACCCTATTTTTTTAAATAAATGTTCTTCTGAACACATAGAGTAGCATTTGATTCTCGTGTAATATGGAAATGATGAAACCTTTCAAGAGACAGTTGTTTTTTATCGACAGAGATACTTTGTAACAAATGTAACTTTTACTCCTGACTTCTGCAGCCATACCGCCGCTGGACGAGATCACCATGGAGCGGGTGATGGAGGAGTTTGAGCACTGCTGCCACGAAAACATGACGCACGCCACGGAGACGGAGGAAGGGCTGGGCATCGAGTACGACGAGGACGTGGTGTGTGACGTCTGCCGGTCGCCGGACGGGGAGGACAACAACGAGATGGTGTTCTGTGACAAGTGCAACATCTGCGTTCACCAGGTCAGGCGGCGACTCATAGCTCATTATATCGCTAAAGTTAAATCTATAATAAAATGCGGCACAAACTATTTAAACTAAACCGTGATCCATTAGATACTTTATAAGTCCGACTGATTGAGATTGTTGGGTCAAAAAGCAAAGTGAAAACGACTCGTATTGCATTTCAGATCAGCTGTGGTTTTATGTGACACACACACGTTAACACATGCTTTCTCTGCCTCTTCATTTGTGGCTTCTGTATTGATTTCCACTCGCGGTCTGGCAGCTGAGCCCCCCCCCTTCGTTTGTGTTTCTCACCAGGCGTGTTACGGCATCCAGAAAGTGCCACAGGGAAGCTGGCTGTGCCGGATCTGCGCCCTGGGCATCCTGCCGAAGTGCCAGCTGTGCCCCAAGAAGGGCGGAGCCATGAAGCCGACGAAGAGCGGCACCAAGTGGGTCCACGTCAGCTGTGCCCTGTGGATCCCAGAGGTCAACACACACATTTACATTCTTAATCGTTTGTGTGTGTTTTTTACTAAGTCCTTTACATGTCACTCTTTAATTTAGCACATGCCTAATTTGCCTTTTCATCCTATTTTTTGAAGAACCGTTTTTAATATCTGAAAAGTTATTTCTGACATTAACATAAGGAAAACAACGACCAATCACTACAAATGAAAAAAACAATATTCAGTTGTATGTTATAAGAGATTTATTCTGCTTATACTTGCTTACTGTTCAAACATTTTAACCTAATGCTGGTGCTTGTTTCCATTTGGCTCTCTCCTGTTATTTATTTAACATATCTTAGACTCTCCTACCGAAAGATAAATTAAAGTTGATGTTAAATGTGCTTTGCAGGTGAGCATTGGGAATCCAGAGAAGATGGAGCCGATCACCAACGTGTCGCACATTCCCAGCAACAGATGGGCTCTGATCTGCTGCATCTGCAAAGAGAAGTCCGGAGCGTGCATCCAGGTAGAGTCAGCGCTCACATCTCAACCCTACCATGCAGAAACATTTAATGAGACGTGAAGCATCACCAACGGTTTTTTAAAGATCCCAACTAGTATCTTACTTTTCTGAGTGATCACAATCCAACCGTGAAAGTGAAAGTATCTTGGGTTGTGACGAGGGTCTGACAGTCCTGAACATTTCTCTTTGTTAACATCCCTAAGCAGTAACTGCAAGCTTGTTTTTGGCAGAGAGCAGCTTGTACAATCGTTCCCAGTCATGTTGCAACAGGCACACAAATTGCAATTTTGCAAAATCCAAAGGCTTTCGTCACTGGAAGATTGACCCGGTCACATTGAGAGATTATTACTGACCTGAGAAAGAAAAAGGTGTTTTCTAACAGAAGTGTTTGGTTACTGAAGCTGTTTCACAACCATTTATTTTTTGCATCCTGCTTAGATTTAATGTGTCATCATTAATTGAATCGTATGACACCGTGTTTTAAAAATATGTTAAACAACGTTGTGTGTTTGCCGCTGTAGTGCTCAGCCAAAAACTGCCGGACTGCCTTCCACGTGACGTGCGGTCTCCAGGCCAGCATCGAGATGAACACCATCCTCACGGAGGACGACGAGGTCAAGTTCAAGTCCTACTGCCCCCAACACTCGGGGCTGGAGGGGGACGAGTCCAGGGACCGAGACTCCGAGGACGAGAAGGAGAGCGCCAAAGACAAGAAGGGCAGGAGGAGAGGGCGGGTGAGAGGCAAGGAAGACACCGCCTCCTCCTCTTCCTCTTCCCACGTGGCTCCTCAGATCCTCCACAGAGTGCCGAGCCACCTGGAGGAGCTGAGCAGCCGGCAGCAGGAGAAGAGGGTCAGCCTCCGCCAGCTGAAGCTGCAGGAGATGGAGGAGGAGTTCTTCCAGTTCGTGGAGGTGGAGGAGGTGGCGGCTCACACGAAGCTGCCGCCGGAGGTGGTGGACTTCCTGTTCCAGTACTGGAAGCTCAAACGCAAAGCCAACTTCAACCAGCCGCTGCTCACGCCCAAGAAGGACGAGGAGGAGAGCCTGGCGCGCCGCGAGCACGAGGTTCTGCTGCGCCGCCTGCAGCTCTTCACCCACCTGCGCCAGGACCTGGAGAGGGTAGGTCTACAGCTCAGAGACAGAGGGAGGAGGAGGGGCCAGTGGGAGGAGGAGGGGCCAGAGGGAGGAGGAGGGGCCAGAGGGAGGGACTGAACAGAGAAACAGATTACATGAATATAAATCCATGCGAGCTTTGTGGAAATGTTCCATAAAGTGCTTCTTTGTAGATAAGATGTATTCACTTAACAGCAGGAGAAAACACAGGATAGAGGCAAGAACCAGAAAGAGATATTTAAAATGGCATGGATATATTAGAAATGTAAAAGATCTATAGAAATAATTGAGTTCATATAACTACAGTATAGCTGCTTCTCCTGCAGATGAGACAGGAAGTTGTTAGGAATAATGTTACTGTCCATCTCTCCTGATCTGTCTGTGATCCCAAGTCCAGCAAGCAGCATCCAGCCTTTATTTTAGTTTTTAGAAAGATCAAATCAAATTCCAGTTTTATTTGAAAAAGGGGGAAATGCTGTCAAATATGACTCGCATGCACTTGTTGACATGCCTACTGGAGCGATTGGGAGTTTAGTCTTGCTCAAGGACACTTCAGCATGTTGACCCCCAGCCACAGCAGCCATACAGAACAGCAGCACATTTAAGAAGCAGAATCAGGGTGAGCTATTGTTCAAGTGTTGGTCCTAAGTTCTTGTCTAAAGAAGCTGCTGCTGTTTCTCCTCAGGTGCGTAACCTGACCTACATGGTGACTCGGAGGGAGAAGATGAAGCGCTCGCTGTGGAGAGTCCAGGAGAATATCTTCCAGCACCAGATGAAGCTGCTGGACCACGAGCTGCTCACCGGTGAGTCAGCAATACCAGAAATATTTTATTAGAACTCCACAAATCAACTTCATATGCCAATGATATGTTCCAGCTCGTTTTAAAAGTTGGATACTCCCATTAACAAAGTCTGCTTCATTTTGTCCCAAAATAATAAGTAAACATTGGTGTTTCTCTGTTGGACATTAAATAAGATCAAAGTTTAGTAAAATAGCAAGTCAGTAGAAGATAATATAATACCGTTACACTGACTCTGTCCATCATATCTCTGTTGCAGGCGATCCCTCAGAGAAGGATTTGGAGAAGCTCTTCTCTCTCGACTGGTTATCCTCTCAGGGCTCCGAGTCTGGACTGAAAACCAAACGAGGGTCTTCCAAGCAGGAAAGAAGAAGTGCCGACAGCAAAGGCCTCTCCGACTCCCCTCACAGCCACAAGAGGGACAGTCCGAGCAAACCTCTGGAGATGAAGGACAGTAAAAGCCCCCGGGTCAGAGAGTCTGCCGAGGACACGAGAACCGGCAAACCCCAGACCTTCGAGATGAATCAGGAGCTTCTCTTCCCCAAGCTCCAGAAACCAGAAGTCCTTCAGGAATCTTCGCACAAACCCGAGAGCAGAAAAGGCCCCAAGAGGGAGGCCCAGAGGACAGAGCAGGAGACGCTGGTCAGACTGAAACGAGACGAGGAAGAGACAAGAAGGAGAAAGAGGAGGAGCGACCTGACGGAGAGCCAGGGGAAGAGTCGCTTCGGGGCCAAACAGCTGGACAAGACCGTGTCCATCCGGTTGGTGGACATCAGGAGCTCGGACCACAACAACTACTTCATGGGGGAAGGGACGACCAGGAGGAACCCCGTCTCGCTACAAGTGAGCCCCAACACCAAGCTCTCCGGCGCTCCGAGAACCAACGGCTGGACGAGGAAAGCTCCGGCAAACGGCTCGCACACATCCAGCCGAAACGTGAGCGGACATCTGAGGAGCTGGGGGAAGTTCAGGATCCCCAAGAGGAGCGAGAAGCCGGCGGACGAGGAGGAAGAGAAGGAGGAGCTGTTGTTGAGTCCGCTGACCAACGCACCGCAGACGTCGTACCCCAGGACCAGACTCCGCTCGGGGACGGAGCACGACGGCTCCGCCTCCGACTCGTGCGGGGAGGCGGAGCCGTGCCTGAAGAGGTGTCACTCCCACCGGCTGAGGGGGGGGGCGCCTCTCGGGCCGCGCTACGGGTCGGACATCATCCGCCGGGGCGTGCTGGCCTCCTGATGGCGGAGCGGCACTTTGATATGAATAAGCTGCACTGTGTTAATTGTAAAAAACGATCGCTCTCTATACCCTTATATTTTTCTCGATGAATCATACAAATGCCTAGATTAAGAAACAGAGATGATATTTATTTTTTATTTGTAACATATGTAAATCTTAGAAAATGTTTGAGCAGGTGTTTATTTTTTCTTTCTTTAAAAAGTAGAAAGATGTCAGGTTGCCACTTAAACGCTTGCTCAGATATTTACAAGCGAAAGCATCACTGAGGGATTGTTGCTCGGGACCAGAAGCTCGCAATGTCATTTTTTTTTTTTTTTTTTTACATAGTATTAAACCCAGTTGTACTTAGTGGGAAAAAGATGACGGACTATTTGATCTTCACAGGGAAATGGGATTCTTTAGGTCTTTTTTTTTTTATATCAAGCTTCGTTGGATGGTTACAGCCACAAACAGGAAGTAAAACTGCCCTTTTATCGCTATTCAATCTCCAGCTGTCATAATTTCTTCAGATTGTGGAACATTATGAACTGAGAAACATACAAAAAAAGGAATTTCAGAATGATGTTAACGTGTCTTTAGCACTTAAGTGTAATTCAACTGCGAACCGATCGTATCTATCATGTGCCTAACTTTTTTTTGAAGCTTTTGCACTACGAGAGGACGGCACAGGTGTGAGCTATGAGAGGATATTTTTACACTGAAACATTTAAAAAGCGTTTTGTACCCTCGGCCGCTACTGTATTACTGTTATGCAAAAGGAAACTTGACTTTGTTGGAAAGAGGAATAAAAACTCTGTGAGGCTGAAGTCTGTGTCTGATGTTTATATTTAAAGTGTTTTGTTAGGAACTTGCCGGGCAGCCTTTCCGGGAAGAAGCACATTTTCTGAGGAGGAAAGACTATCTTTAAAATATTTATTTTGTTAATACTTTTTATATATTCAACAAAAATACCACTATGAAAACTAGTAATTAAGCAATCATTAAAGTCATATTTTTATACAAAGTACTGAACATTTGCTAGTTCCAGATTCTCCATTGTGAGATTGTGTTCAGTTGTCTCTGTTTTAGCTTAAAGTGGACCTATCATGCTATATTTGAATAATATAGTGTAGGACCATACCTATAAGGCATATTTATACTTTTCATTTTTCAAAATACCAAACAG